GACAAGTGGAGAAGAAAATAATCTTTAACTGCACACAAAAGTTTTTTTCTTTAACTTTCCAGCGCGATCAGAAGTAGAGGAGCTGCAGGGTTACTCATGTTACTTTACTTCTTCATGCTTTGCCCCTTTTCTTATTTCATTTTCTTCTTTTTAGTGCACTTTCTGAGTACAGAAACGCTTGAAAGAATCTATTTTAAAAACGTTCTTTGGGTCCAATTTAAGCCCCTGGAATCTCTTCATTGATTGATTGTTCAAACTTACTCACTGCTACAACTTCAGCACAGCGTTCATTGAAAAAGCAAGCAAGCTCTCATTTTTGACTTTTTGCACTAGAAATAAGCTTGTGTTCAAAGTTACTGAGGTTTAAGCAGCAGTTAATACAGCAGAGGATTTCAGTTTGGGAAATTAAAGTTAGAAATGTGAGCATCGGAAGCAGATTTAGTGTTTTTGTTCAACATGACTGCATAAAAAAGTCGTCTGTCTCCCCTTTAATGCTAATAACTTGAAATGATAATTACAAAGAACATATTGCTGTTGTTGTTCTGTGCAGGAATTATACGTCAAAGTACAGAATCGTGTCACTTTAAGGCTACAAACAGCTTTCTTCATTTTGGAACTTTTCGATTTAAAAAGAAAAAAGCTCTTATTTGAACTTTTGTGCACATTTCAATATCCTCATTAATTTTACTTCCGCGCGGCCCTGCAGGCATCAACAGGAACAGACTGCTTTGATCACTTTATTAGTCGCAAATAAAACTTGTAGCTCCCTCGTCAGTCGTACCATTCTTTCACTAGATTGACTTTCTTAGAAAAAAGTTGTTTTTTTGCAATAAAATACATCGGGTTGATTTCTTACAGGCAGAATGCAGAAGCGCCTGAGTCATTTCACTTTTTTGAGAAGTATGTTCTTATCCAATTAATGTCCAAGGGCATGTCAGTTCAGTCTTTGTGCGCCACAATCTCAACAGAAACATAATTAAAAGTGCAAGGAATTTAAAGGCAGCGCGTCCACAGAAAGACCTGCAGACGTGAAAACTCGTCCACTGACTTGATGTTTGTGCTGATTGGAAGAGACCAAGGTTTTTAATAACGATGTAAGCAAGCAAAAGACAAAACTCTCTGACTGAATGCACGCAGTTTGTGGATTTTGTTGACTGATTACAAAGAGAAGCTAATAATTTACTGACAAATCAACTAAAAGAACTTTTTGATATTAACCACTCGGAGCAAACTGTGTAATAACTTTTCTTTTTCCTTTTTTAAATGCGTGCTGGATTCACGGCCTTGGTGCAGATGAGAGAATGAAAAAAACAGAACACAGGAGGCAAATTACATAGACATATATTTATATGCATATGAATAAAAATACATATACATATTGTACAATATCTTGGCCGAGCGTGAAAACAGCTCTGTCAGCCCAGAAACAGAAGTAAGCCTCTTTAAATAAGTGCAAAATGTTAATGAGACAAAGAATTGTAAAGCATATATAAAGTCTTTTTTCTGAACTTTCTTTCACATTTTGTTTTTCCTGTTAAAGTCACATGGAGCAGACATGGAGATAACTTGTGCAAAGACCCATTTATATATATTTATATATAAATTTATATCTATGTACATAGAGTTTGTTCATCATAAGTAGTAGCTGGTGCCTTTAGCTTGACATTAAGTACGTTTTACTGCTCAAAGAAAAGAAGTTAGGGCCTCTGCAGGACCTTGGCTGTGCATAACGAAAACAAAGTAAACCAAGCAGAGTCAGTTTGTTTGTAAAATGAAGGAACATTTCACAGAAAAGGACTCGAGAAAATCATGATGCGAGAGCCGTGAGAAGGCCCTTACTGTTTCTGAAACCTCAACAAGTGCAAGATGTCACAGATTGCACACAACAAAAGCAACACTTCCACTCAGCTGGAATGAGAATCTTACAAAGAAAAATAAAATAAAATAAAGCAAAAATAAACTGTAGAACCCAAAAAAAGAAAAGAAAACTAAAGGCTTTGTTTAACTGATGCAAGGCTTTACAACATTTCTTTCTGCCCAGAAGAGAAGTGGCCGCTCACTTCTTTGACTGTCTCCCTCAAGCTGAATCCTGAATCTACTGAGCTGAGCGTACAATACAGTAACAGCAGATTTACATTACAAAACACCACCGTACCGTGACAGGAAAAGGAGTCAGTGCTGGATGTCAAGGGAAATATGGAGCATGAGAAGGTTGTTTTTTTAACCCAAAAAAGAGTTGCTTTCATACGTGATGCTCCTTTCATGTCACACTGGCTGAGAAATACTTGAAAATGAGCTGCTTTTGCTAACTGTATCCGCTATCTTGTGCAGCTAAAGACATCAAAAATTGGAACAAAAATTTAAATATGGTAGCAAAAAAACAGGAGCAGAGGCTGTTTAGGACACAGCGGGGGAATGAAGGGGTTGTGAGTGAGGACAAATAAGGGGGATTTGCGAAAGAGTACGCCAGCCTCACATGAGAAGCCAAGCCTCTGACCTCTCAGTTCCATCTCTCTGCTCAATATTTGATGCCAGAGCGTGTGAATTATGAATGGTGCTTATAGAAAATAATACAGTGTTCGACAACAGCACAGGTGCACCGCTGCAAAGAGTCGCGAGTAGATGACAGGGGGGGGTGTTTTTTTGCGGCGCTGCTGGGGTCTGAACACAACAACAACAAATCACCAGCTACCAGCCGCTGCTACACGGGTGCAAAAAGGCCCGATGAGCCGACAGACGGGGAGTTTTTTTACAGGCCGAGGTCGAAACCTTTCCATGCGCTCCACAAGAAATGTGTCTGCAGCTGGAAGCATGCTCGGCTGTTTTAAACTGGCCTTTACTTGTAAGCGCATTTCAAAATTGATGTCATGGCAGTGTCCATTTTTTATTTATTTTTTTTTTAAATACATGTCGAGCCATGAGGGAGAGAAAGAGATTGGGAGAAAGAAAGAAGAAAAAAAACGTATTAAACCTCACAGTGAGATGAAATATAGAAATGAATAGATACATGGGAAAACAGACAAGAGACAGGAGTGAAAAGGGGGCAATAACTCATCTGACACGCACAAATTGAGGGCAAACTGTTGCGAATCGCAGGTTCTCCTGGGTGATTTTGATTTTCTTTGGACAACGAGGAAACCTGGACAAATGGCATCTTATGGGGGAGCGAAAATAAAACAGCTGATCCTTTTTCATCCTCCTCTCCTGAATGTATTTAACATATGTTTTGTCAGTCCAAACACACGCAGAGGTCAGTTTTAGCTTCGGCTCCATCAATTACAAAGTGGAGCTGCAGTTTATTTTTGAAAACAAGAAGGAGAGGAGAAGGTTTTTGGGGGCTTTAAATGTGAAAAAACACCTCTGTAAAAATAAACTGACTCCAAACACTGACTCTTACTAAAGCTGTGAAAGCTGGGAAGCTTTTTTTTTTGAGTGAATAAGGAGCTTTAAAAGCAAAACGAGGAAGATACAGGAGGATGTATAAATACCTACAAACATAAAGTGCTTTCATGAGGGGCGATCAGAGGGAATCTTTTCATTTAGGTGTAACAGGAGGGCGAGCCAAATGTCATCGAACACAAAGGTAAAGAAAAATAAACCAATAAAAATGTTCTCATGAGATGCTGCAGCTTATTAACTCATAAAAATGAGTAAAAAGGTTATGGATGTGACGACCTGGTGGAACGGTACTGAGACGTTGTTTTCGTGTTATCGGTAAACGAATTATGAACAAACCTGAAAAAGAAGAAAAAAAAATTGGGGTAAAAACAGCAAATCCTGCAGGTGACATGTTTGCCTCAACCGGGGCTGCAATGAACTGTTATTAACTATTAGGACAAGTGTGTTCTCGATGAATCTTTCAGTCTGTGCTGTCTTCACTGTACTAAAAAGAACAGTTGGTGTCTCTGGTTGAACAAAGTGTTGAACTGATTTTTAAAAAAAAATTGCTGCACATTCATGTTTTTGAGGTGCAGCTCTAATCCTAATCACGCTAAACAAGATGCAGAGCAAAAACTCAGCCTGATTCTTTAACATCTGCATCTTTAGGACAGTTGTTCAAAGGGGGAAACTGTGAATCGATCATTTCTCCCAGCCTGACTGGAGTGCACAAGTGTGGCACCTCCAAAGCGTCGTCTGTAAATGCTTTGGCAGACTCTAACCAGCTTCATCACATCACTACACGTCTTTCTTTTCATGTCCTTTCGTCTATCAGATCTAGATATGTGATTTTGCACCATCTGTCCAGATTCTACCACATATTGTTTCATACACAAACACAACCAAATAAAGAATTTACAAAAAACTACAGCTGGACACCAAACAGACTGATATTAAAATGCTACGATTCTTTTTTTTTTTTTTTTCTTTTTTTTCTTCAGTGTTTGTTCCTATTGTGATAGCACATCAACTAAAATCAAACATGGCCACTTGTACAAGAATAGAAATGTGTACATACTGCTCTCTTTGAAGTATCACTTGTCTCATTCAGACGCTGATTCTATCTGAAATATCCATGTCAAGTATTTTCTTTTTTCTTTTTTTTTTCCTGAACAGTAAATGAAGGCCTGTATAGAGAGAAAACCACACACACAAACTCACTGGACAAAAAGTGAAGAGTCACTTAAAACCACTGCAAAGAGAGCGGTGATAAAAACATCTGGAACATACACACACGGCATTTTTGCAAAAATTCACAAGTTTCTTTTTTTTGTTTGTTTGTTTGTTTTTTGTTTTGCGTGGGGGAGTGGAATCATCGCTCTCCGCCACATCCAGTCCTTTTTCACCATTTTGTGTCAGTGTGCCAAACAGTGCTGTGGCACAAAATGGTGCTGCGTGAAAGCAACCCAGTCACTTTGTTTTTCACATTTCTCATGATCCAGGGTGCTTTCTTTGCCTCTCTGCAGCCGCTCAAGTGTCAAAGAGGTGGCAGGGCGAGAGACTGAGGAGAAAAGCTCTTACAAAGACAAGTCAGTGTCCCCTCTCCTTCCTAAAACTGTAACTTAAGAAACTGTCTTCTTCCCACCCAGATCTGAATCCTTCCTGTCCAGCCGCATGTACGGCTCAAAAGCTGAGGAGCCGCAGCCGTAGGTGGACGTCAGTTCGTGATGAGCGCCCCCCAGCAGCGGCATGGAGAAGCAGAGGGAGTGCGGCGGTGGGACGCCCAGCCGCGGGGAAGGCGGGGCGCCGCCCAGCGACGGCAGCGAAAGCCCGAATGTCCCGCCTGGTAGGGAGCTGGGAGGAGTGCTGCTGCTGATCCCCGGGGAGGTGGAGGAGCCTCCACCAGGGCTGCTCAGCAGGGAGCCGTTCGCCGGGTGAGTCGGAGGCCCCAGGAGGGAGTTGGGTGGCGGGGCGGGGCCCGACAGGAGGCGGCCCTGCTCCAGGAGGCGCAGGATGTTACAGGTGGCCAAAGACTCGGACGAGGTGGAGGAGCGCTTGTCTGAATCCTTGGTGGTGTCCTTCTTCTGTTTGGTCCGGCGGTTTTGGAACCAGACCTTGACCTGCAACAACACAACCCAACACGCACCTTGTGAAAAACACGACAAACACACAGTCATACATACAACTTCTATGAACTTTAAACCTTCTTCTGTTAAGCGTTTCATTACTTATAAGCTATCCACTTTGTCGTCTTCCCTTCTCTGATGTTTACATGCTTTTGCACGAGCCTAACTCACACTCTGCTTCACATCCTGGCTTATCCTGCATCCTCCTCACAAGCTGATGCCTTCCACAGGCCGAACACATGTGTGACTGACTTCTTTGTGACCTCTGCTTGATGCATATCCACAATGTGTAGCATGTTCTGTGCGCTCACAGTTGCGAGCGGTAAGAGCACGCAACACCTTAGCGGTAAACCAGGCATACACGCATAAATCCGTGCAGAACAAGAGGAAATACTGTAATCCCCTGGAACCAGCAATTGGATCAACTCTGTTGTTTTCCTTGCACATTTGATCATGGTTGGTCCCTTGCACTTTACCATCTCTCACACTTCATAGCTCAAAGAGGCTAGAAATGCACATGGGGACGGACAGCGATATAAAAGCTATGCACCAGAGGGGGAATATTGGTTCAACCGCAGCCATGATGCAGAAAAACAGAACGGCATTGTCATAAAATGTTCAAAATATGAAATAAAAGATCCCCCAAAATCAAGCTGTTTTGAAGAAGGTGATGGCGACAAAAGAAAAAGAAAGAAAACGCTAAATTAAAAGAACAAAAACACGTAATTGTCACCAACATCTGCACCACCGTCCTCTCTCACGGCAGCAAACTTAAGAGTTTCCTCACACGAGCCATCACGCCACCCGCAGCAGATTGAGAAAAGCTCGCTGAACTCTGCCTGTCCTTGTCCGCCATGTTTAATTGATGGCGCGCAGTGTAGCTTTAATGTATAGCGTGTGGAATAGTTGGGGCTGGGTGGGATGTTGATTAGAGGGCACGGTGAGGTCGCAGCAGATCGCTGCACGGAGAGCCACCACTGAGAGGAATCACACACATGAAAAATGTATACAATCCTGACCGAGATACAGTTCTCGCTCCGTGTTTCGCAGCAGATTCACAGTATCTCACAGCGTGGCATGCGGAGGGCTCAGCGTAATAATTCAACGTTTTCCACTAGTTGTCGGCTTGTAAACACCAACAATTTAGCGATAAAAATCCCAAAACAGTCGAAAATCATTTGCGTGAACAATCTGAAACAAGTTCAGGGAAGTTGGGAAAGCTTCTGTGGTGACTCGAGCAAACTGGATTTACAGTTGAAGTTCAAATAAACTGAGATAACCGAGACGTCCTGCTGGGACAAAAGTACTGTAAGAAATCAGTAACAACAAGAAACAAAAGAGATCTGTTTGGAAACTAAGTCATCTCCCCTAGAACGTGCTGTGCTTTCATGAGTGACACTTTTTTTCTTCTTTTTCCTCAAACATCAGTACAAGGTGAGCTGTAAAATAAAGCTTCTACTTCAACATGAGGGGTTGCACATGAAGCAGCCAATTTCAAGCATCAAACACTGAACTTTCTTGCATTTTAGTGCACTTTTAGGCACCAATTTCTGCCTTTTCTGCATCAATTTATGGTGGAAATTTGGATTTTTTTGTACCAGGTGCCAAACTACAATGAAACATAAATCAGTCAATATTTCAGGCGTTGCGTTTAAATATTTATTCTCAAAAATCTCGGAACAGATTTAAAAACACTGCAGGTCAAAGTCACTGAGTTAAAATTAAATGCACATTTTCAATAAGACTGCAACCAATAATTACTTTTACATGTGATTATTAGATTATTTTCTGAATTACCTGAAGAATCATTTGAGACAAAAACATCACACAGTGTCTTGATTTGTCCAACAAACTGTCCAAAACTTAAACTGGCTTAATTCGCAATGACAACAAACCCTCGCATCCAGTTGTAAAAGTGCAGAACTATTTGTTTATTTCAGCTTTAATTTACAATCTTGAATAATTTACCAGCAACTTTAAATATTAAAGAAAAAATCTGTGTTGTTTCCTTACATTTACTTTCCTTCATCGCTTCGGATTCATTGCGACTGAACATTTTCTTTGTGTTAAAACTGTATTTGAAATAAAAAAAATACACAGTAAATGTTGTTTTGAATGGAAATCAGGCAAACGATCCCCACTTTTTTTTTTTTTTCCTCCAGTCGTCCTCGCATTGGGACAGCGTAAGTTCATCCATTGAAAGTTATTTATACACACACACTCCAGACTTTCCATCGGCCTCCTCATGATTTTTCGTAGAAATCCAGTAATCTAATCCCTGATAAGTGGGGATTGGCAGCAGACGACTTAAAAGGAAACTCCTGTAACAGCAGAAATGCGTAAGCCCCGTAAAGGGTCTGTAGCTTACTTTAATTATAAAGAAAAACTTTCATAAGAGTTGCACAACGCACACAAAACAAGAGAACAATGTACAATACAAACGCTGCAGGATTCAGATTCATGAACACACGCAAAGCCCTCACATGACCCACTGCTCCGTCTGCGGACCTTTCGGGTGTTGAAAATTACATTTAGATTAATTTCAAAGAATCCCCGAACACTCTCGGTCTGCTCTTACAGGAACACCAAAGCAGATGTCCAAATGTCCAGCAGACAGTGTGAGAGCAAGGTGCAGGTTTTGCAGCCACATGCAGTTCTGACAGTAGAAAAATTATCTTATTGTATCTGTTATACAAAAATACATCCGTCTGCTGAAGCTCTTTCTAGAAAACTTTTGGAAGCTTTAGCCTGTTTTTAGATATTTGTGGCTAAAAATCACAGAAGCTGTCACTAAATTTCTCTTGAATTTAATTCCCTAGTGACCTTGGGTTGCTCAGGCCGAGCCCAGTGCTATCTGGCATTCCTTCTCCCCTCGTAGTCGCCTACCTCTCTATTGTACGCCAGCTAATAAAGGCAACAAATGATTCGAAAGTACAAAAAAAATAGTTTCAGGGTCAGCAGTGAATGGTTGACTACGCTGCTGCAATGCAACACAGACAGGGGGGGGAAAAAAAAAAAAAAAGATATGGTACTTTGTTAGACTTTCCAGCTGTGAGCAAGCAACACAAGCCACTGAGCTTCACAAAAGGCAAAGTTTTCTAAATGGGAGTCGAAGATGTTTGGGGTTCGTGTTGTCTGCATGGAGAGTGAAAAGTGACTTGGGAGAAAGTTGTGGAGAGACAACGGGCTAACTGGCCGTGTGATGAGGGAGTAGAGGCTCCCTGTGAAAGAGAACGTCAGTGGGCATTGTAGTTTTCAAATGCATTAATTTTTGCCACTTCCAATTATATCTACAAGTCTGATGATGGCTATTAAATGAGAAAGTTTCTGTGTATGCTCTATAATAAAACATTTAACTTATCACCAGATAAAAATGTGGACCTGCAGAGCCGTTGTGTACATTCAACGGTGCTTTCTTACTGTCAGCACCATGCTTTTCAAAATTCCTGCTTTCTACAACATCTGTGCAGCAGCTATAGTTGAGTTTATGAATTGGTCACATGTAGTCCACATAAACGATGAAATAACTTCAGAACTTCTACATCACTGCGTCCCTCCTCTCTCCATTTTTATTTTATTTGATCTAACAAAGTGCACTGAACACATGCTCATCTAACCCCACAGACTGTATAATCAAGATGGGGAAAGAAAAGTCAACATGAAAGCACCTTAAACCTGCATTCTCTATAGTGGTCAGCAGGGGGCGACTTCTCTGGTTGCAAAAAGAGGTCAGATTGTGTCAAAGTCAGAGAGAAGATTGCTCTAATTCTCACTTGATTTGTTACCTCAGTGAACATTTTCATGTGGAGTTTATGGTCTCGATCGCTAGATTTAAGTCTCATTTAATACAGCATGGTGTTAATTTTCTAAATTATGGTCCCATTTAGACTCAAATACACAACTTTTATAAACAGAATGTATCCTCTGTGAATGCTATGGAATATTTGGGGGCCGAAGTAATTGCTCAAGCGCACTTTGAGGCTTCCTAAGGGTGCAGAAAGTTTCTCTTCACCTGGTTCGACCTCTTCAAAGCGCCGCGATGACCCTGCAGTGTGGAAACACAGTCGACTTTGTCCAATTGGCATCAGTCAACTTTCATTTTCTAAAACACCTGAGCCAGCGTGACAAGGAGCTCACCAGGCTGGGAGCTCACCCGGGCCGCTGATTGCGTGGAAGTAATCAGGCTGGCTGTTGTTAACTACAGTAAGGCGGGCTCAACATGCAGCTAGGGCAAGTGAGATCATAGTTTCAGCTACTAACCACGATACAAATAATGGGATCGGAGCGGATCCCACAGCTCAGAGAGGAATACTGATGCCAGCACGTCTTACTGCAAAGACCCAAAAGAAGCACAGAGGGAGGGACAGCAGAGACGGAGATAAGAGGGGAGACGGGGGGGAGGGACGGACAACAGGAGGGTGGAATAAGCTGCCCAAATCAACTGTAGCTGCGTCTCCTTCCTCTCGGTCTAGATTTCTTCCTCGTTAGCTCACACGCTGCCTCTCTAAGATCTCTCTCTGTATTTTAGTCATGCGCCGACGCCTGCCAAAAAACCCCACATCCCATAAAAGGTTTTTCGCTCTCAGCCAATCCCTCTCCTTTCTCCCCATGCTGTGGGTGTGGCTCAGTGCTCTGTTCACGTCCCAGTCCTCCTGTCCATCGCCAGGAAAAAAGAAGGAGGGACAGAAAAAAAAAAAAAAAGCTTGCTGGTGTTTTACAGGGATTTTATTAGAGGGGGAAAATGATGAGAAGAGAAGAAAGCAACGCTGCCTTTGGTACATCTACACTATTGGATGTAAATCCTTTTTAATGGGATCCAGGGTTCAGAGCTGGGGCAGAGATTACCAAGGGAGATCTGGATATGGCGTGACCTGCATTTGCCCCAGCCTTACCCTCTGCACCCCACCCTGGTGCACTCTGGCCTGCTGGGCCACGGTTAGGGCCCGGGTGAGGAGGTTAGGACCGAAGATGGCAAGACCGCTGGAGGGAGGGAC